CGGAGGGCTAATGTTGACTTGCTATTCAGGATTACAGGAGATCGTGGGCAACCGAAGTATGGCTGAAGGCCAGTCGAACTGATCCCTTAAGTGTCCTGCCCATCGATCCAGTCTTCTGGATTGAGAATGGATAATAAGAGCATCCTTTTCCGAGATGGTCTCACTTACACTAGGATTCCGAATACCAGTCTCCTTGATAAGTCGGAAATATTGTCTACTTTTGCCAGTCGTCGCTGCCTTTTCCATCTCTCTCGCTTTCGCCAACAACCACTGTTCACAGTAATTGCGTAGGCATTTTTTCAGCCTGCGTTTAAGCTAACCTCGTTTTTCATCGTGCTCACAGTCAAGTGGGATGAGTATTCGAGCATCCATCAGTTCGGTAGACGCTATTGAGACCCACAGCTTCATTCTAGCCTTATGGTTTACCTTACTATCAGATATCACTGCTGTTTCCACAGCCTTCTTGATATAATTCCAACCTGCTTAACTCTCTAATTCCTCCTGAAATATATTCCTAGCTTTATTAGCATTAAGTAGGACCCAAATAGGTTTCCCTGCTGTGTCTTTCCTACGTCCATTAGGCCTCAAACAAATACTCACTCGCACTAAAGCAAGTTCTGAATCTAGACATATGCCGCAGAATGAGCGACAGTTCTCTATCAAACCCCTTCGTCGGTTGCTGATCTAGTTGGGTTCAACGTTGAGACGACTTTGTGGGTCGCCAGGTCAAAAGATGTTTTTTCTTATGCCTAAAGTTAGTATCTGCTAGAAATAGTTGGTTATCTGAGCATACTTGCAACAGACGGTCACCATTTTCTGTTCTGTGAGCGATAGCTCGAGATTCTAATGTCCCAGCTAAAGAAGCCTGTTGCCCTATTTGAAAAAATATGCGTGATACAACATGTAATTTAGAACGAGGTTTCGTGAGACCAGGGATGTTGTTTCGTGAATTGGCATTGTTTGCATTAGCGGTGCAGTGTGATTTAGGAATGGGATTTATTTGTGGACAAAAGAGAGATATTAGGGGGCGGGGTAAGAAGGATTTGATTTTGACCTATTCGGTCTCGTATGCTTTTACGTATATGATGGTGGTTTTCACTTTCCGGCTGCTCACAGCGTGAAAGGTTGTGTCTTGAGGAACCTGAAAAAGAAAATAGATCAGTGTTGGTCTTAGAGACCTGAGAGCGTGACTGCAGAGCCCAAAGGAGAACTGCTTGAGGTTGGTCACGCACGGCCTTTTTTGAGCGGTTTTTGAGTATGAGCTCCGCTCTTAGAAGCCCTTAGTGGGCACCCTCACCCAAGGAGACGGAAATCCATGAGTTAGGGTGAGGTGTGACATTTTTAAGGGTCGACATGTTCTAACCCTTCCTTCCTTGTGAGAAGGCAGCATCGCTGCAGATGGTGATTGTCCAAGGGAAACAACTTACTGCTGCCACACCTCTCTGCAGTCAGCAGACCTTGATTAGCTGCTTTAAGTCTCACCGTTCTCCAATCGACCTGCCTGACATAATAGAACCTTCAGGAATATATGTTCCACCCAGTGTAGCTCGACTGAGTCATCACGATAGACAACCTCGAACACGTCAAGGTAGGAGCTTTGGTAGGGAATGATAGTTGATAACCAGTATAACCAGTTACTTTTCATACAATTTACAAAGTTTGGAATTACATACCATAAAAAAATTTTCCCCTTATAGAATTTATTAATTTTCTCATACAACAGTTTCAAAAAATCTGTTGAATTCCTATCTCTGATGATATTTTCCTCAAAATGACTCTACATTACTGTTGTCTTACAAATCTGATTCATTCATAAATTTGTGGTACGGTTAAATCACTTAACATTTTGTCAAAATAGTCATCACTAATTAAAATTTTATGATAAGTACATGATAAAATAACCGAATAAAGATCTTGGTACATTCAATTTTGTGGTGAGCAAATCTACAAATTTCTCGTTGACACTCTTATGTCAACAATAAGGAAAACTAACACTAAAACTATACCTATTGGCTGAACTCAGTGAAATTGAAGTAAATTCATTGAAGATAACATTCGACAATTAAACTGTGCGTTGTGAAAATAAAATATATTATGCTACAATGTGAAAGGCCAAATATTCTCAGGACAACAACGACATAGAAGTTCAATTGATATTCAGCAACCATTTTTCCAGTGGGTTCCAGAATTTCTCAAACCATTTTTTACACAGAAATCCCTTGATAAAAGTCCAAATGTTGGATTTTATGTTTTCGAGATTGAGTTGATCTGATGACTTTGAGATTACATTTCCTATTCGCGGAAAATCCTTGGCAGTTATTGATTGATGTATTATTTTATTAACCGATTTTTGTTACTCTTCCAAGGGCGTTACTATGATGTATTAAATAAACACGATTTGTGTGCTTGAAAACCTTGATTTTCTGGATACTTGTAGAACAAACTTTCTACGCCATATCAAGACTTCTTCCTCTACTTTTTTATTACTTCATTGTATCAGTGAAACAAAAGAAGCCAGAATGTTTTTTTTATTCAGTATATATAGTCAATTCAAACCAGAGTAAACTAACTATCCCGAAGTTAGCTAATTTCATCCGAATGAAATGAACCGACTACGATGCATAATAAATATGTCAAAATTAATCAAAAATATTAACAATGATAGTACAGTGAGAAGACGTAATTGATGCGAAAAATGTGATGTATTTACGCGCTATGCATATTTCGAACAATCTGGTCACACATATGCACACTTGTCAAGGCATTTTGATATGAAGATGAATAAAAGGTCAATTAAATAAAAGTTCAAACACAGACATAAGGTGATCATTGTAAATAAAGGAGAGAGAGAAAATTAACGTAATATGAAAAGAATAAGAAAGGGTAGGTAGGAAAATTGTCACATTACCCTAGTCTTAAAGATTACCATCGTATATTCAAGGTTATGACAAATTGTTTCTGCACACATAATGGGGGTTTTAATTTTCTAATAGCCAACGCCTCCATAAACCTCAAAATTCGTCCTTCAACATTTCTGTTTTGAAGGCTATCTTGATGTCAATCTTATACCCTATCTCAATTATGTGTTTGGTGATCGATGAACATGGTTTTCTATTTCCAACGTTAATCGTCTCGTCTGACGTTAACTGATTTTGAAGCCACTTACGTACATGTTCCCTATAACCCTTGATTGCAAAGTCCGATTACTCCTCCCTATGTATGTGTGTCTACACAAACATGTAAATTGATAAATGCAATGGGATGAGATGTAATCATTCGAGCAACATTTAGGTATGCGAAATCATGAACTTGGTCTTTTGAACTATATCTATTTGAACTTTTATTTAATTGACCTTTTATTCATCTTCATATAAAATGCCTTGACAAGTGTGTATATGTATGTGACCAGATTGTTCGAAATATGCATAGCACGTAAATACATCACATTTTTCGCATCAGTTACGTCTTCTCACTGTGTTCTATCAAAATTTATAAAAGCGACTAATTGTTTTGAACAATGATAGTAGTAAAAATTATGAAATATGAAAAGTAGGCATGATAATAAACTGGGACTCTTTAGTCACTGGTCAAGGTCAGTATAATGATTTCAGTCAAGTACACTAACCCCTTTATAACATGATTCAATTCAACAACTAAATGAACTTTATAGTCTAATATCACATTTTAGTTTCCATACAAATTTTCGAAATAAATAAATATGTGAGGTCACTTTAAATCCCTAGATCAATCAGAGTTAGACACCGTTAACACCATTGAAGTCCACCAGCCCAGTGGTCCAATAGTTTAAGCATTCGCGCACAACACCAAAGATTCCCGGGTTCGAATCCTGCGCGATGTAAGAGTCGTGAATGTGCACTGCCATTGATAAGTAGTCCCATACCAGTTAGAAATGGCTGTCTTTCAGTGATTCTAATAGTAATCTAACAATCAAATTGATTAATAATAATTTCAAAAATCTGTGTGCAAAATAAAAAAAAAACACAAATCTCCCATAACTCTAAATAAAAAATTATCAACTTTTATTGTTTGAATTTCGAAAGGAAAAAAAGCAGAGACATTTTTTTTTACACTTTCTTATTTTTTTTTTCATGATTATCAGTCGTCATCATCATTATCATTTACACAAACAGAAAAGAAGGATAAAAATGATAAGAGAATTAAGCACTAAAAGGTGAACGAACACTTTGAAAAATCAATCAATCGATTATTCTTTTTTTCTCTTCAGTTGAACATTCAACATGGCGGATAATATGAAGAAGAAGAAATATTACACATTGTTTAAGAGACAGTAAAAAGTAACTTAACTGAACATCATCGATTGTATGTCTGTATGTATGTATGTATATGTGAAAGGAGGTAATGCGAAAAATATTTTTTTAAAAAAAAACGATAATAGAAGTAAGTGAAAGGTAAATTTTTGATCGAAAAAAAATGGGACAACAAAAGATGAATTTCAAACAAAGATGTGGTGTTTTTTTGTATTTGATTAAAATAAGAGGGGGATCATGTAAATAACACACACACAATCAGAGAAATAAGAAAAGAAAAAAAGTGAATGAGTAGAAAGCATACAAAATCACATGTACATTATTGATTGCAATAATAATGAGTAGGATAAGAATAACATTAAGGTGTTTATGCAATCAATGATTACTACAATTTGAATGATATCAATGTATTGGATTGTTATAATTATACTATCATTTAGAAAAAAGTATGTTTTGTCAGAATGACTACAACTACTACGATTACAATCACGGATTTTTTTCTTCCAAACATACTACTACTACTACTACTACTGACACTACTACTAATGACACTACTACCAATGATACTGTGTCAAACTCTTCATCACAATGATAGAAGAAGAAGAGTCAATCATTCGGTCGGTACACAGATGGAAGTTGAAACATTGTAGGCTAAGTCAAATATAATTGAATGAATGATTGAATCAATGAATCAGCGAATCAGTGAATCAGTTAACTCGATGGTACAACTCTAAACAATTTCTGTACTGCAATAGTAAATGATTCTGAAAAAAATAAAATAAAAGAAAATTAGAAAATTAGAAAAGAGAAAACACACACACACATGAATAAACAAGATTAAATCTTTAGTGCGAAAAAAGTGCAAAAAAGAAGAAAATATTACATCTGAAATTGGTTGAAAAAACAGTCATTGAAATTCAATTACAGACTGACTGCATTGAAGATGTAAGAGAATATATACACTACTTATGGTCATTGCAAAAGCTTAGACCATAGTTGTTATGTTCAATGGTTGGTTCTCTAGGTGATCTCTAGAGAGAACTTTAACAATTAGCTTTATTCTAAGTTGTACATGTCAATAAGAAACAGATGAAACCATGGAACGATCGATATGCGCTTGCTTACATGACTTCATGCTATGTTGTTACCCAGTGTCATTGGGTGAATTATTCAAGCTGAGAAAAGTTTAGGTTTAGGGTTTGCGGCTATCAGACAGTCAGCAACAACTTAGAACTTCGTACTTAAGTACGTCTGTACGTACATCAGTCCCAGTTGTCATATTGCATTAGCAAAAAGTGGCGATTGTCAATGGGAATCCCATAGTGGTAGAGGTAGTAGATGTATGAGCAGTAATCGGAAAGATTAAGGTTTGTGAAGATGTTATTCGGAGAGAATATATACACCAATGAAATAAAGTTGAGAAGAGACAGATAGACGTGATTGGGGAATTCAAATAATCAGAATTTTAGAGAACACTAAGAATGGATACATCTGCAAACGATTTTGAGCTATGTCATTCAAAGTAGCTAACTATCGGTTACTATCGTCTCGCGGTTTGTAGCCATGCAGTCTACACATACCAACATAGCTCAGTCCGGTAGTCCGGTAGTGAATTGATGGATTTATGCCATGTTTTCATCTGGCTTGTAGCTATATCTGCAATTTACTCAGGATGAAACGGCTATGTCCAATGATTACAGGTTTTGCAATGATGGTCTAACAACAATGATCAATTCATGATATCAAGCAGCAACTCAACAATCTTCACAACCGTAGAATAATGAAAACAAAATGATAATCCATTTCACAAAATTATTAATCATAATAATAATAATAATCATAAAAGTAATAAATTTTCATTATTTACCAAATTTTCTTTGAAATGATTTTGGTTTATTTTTCCATACACATCCAATGATGTAAACTGGTATACCAGTAGAAAGAATAGCAACTCCTAGTACTAGTAGGAAAAATTCAAATAAACAGTGACGAGAAATACAAATAAAAAGTATCATTATAAATATGTGATGAATTTACTAACTGGAGTGAATAATACAATGGATCAGTCAAGTCAGATGCAAAGTGGAACTTCGTACGTAAGTTACATCAGTTCATGTTGCCATACCAGAGAGATATAATTGTCAATTCAAATCCAATAGTAGTAGTAGAGGTAGTAAAGGTATTACAAGTAATCAGAGAGGTTAGGATTAGAAGATATTATTATTCAAGAAATATGATTCAGTGAGATAAGTTTAGAAAGTCAAAACTAGAGGTATTGAACAATCCAGAAGATTAGGATTTGAGAGAACACAGAGAATAAATGCACCGGCGCCATTGCGAACGATTTTGAGCCATGTCATTCAAGGTCCCTAACCATCGATTATTATCATCTCGAGGACCCTAAGCAGGTAGTCGACAATTACAGACATGGCTAAGTCCATTCGTCAATGACTTTATGGATTTCTGCCATGTTTTGGTCTGGCCACCCCTAACTTTCTTCCAAACTACTCCTACACTACAAAACAAAGCTCTTCAAGGCAGTCGGTGGTTAGGCATAAGCAGAACATGTCCCATCCACCTCAACGGACGAATTTTCATTACTTCATCTATTGATCTTCTATTCTTACCTAGCACCCGATTCCTAATGGCAGCGTTGCTCACTCGGATGTCCCACGGTATACGAGCAATGCTTCGAAGACACCTATGATCGAAAACCAGTAACCTATGAATATCTTCTACTCTCATTGGCCATGTTTCACAGCCATAAAGTAAGACGGAGCGAACTACTGCACAGTTCACTCGTCCTTTAGTCAGCAAACAGATATCTCGCGTTTGTCATAAGTGACGCAGGTTGGCAAAAGCCAATCGAGCCTTCTGTATCCGTGCTGAGATTCCGTCAGTCACCAGGACATCGGCACTGATGAGACTCCCCAGATAAGTGAAGCGGTCAACACGCTCGACTACTTCACTCCCTATCACTTGTTCAGGTGCCGATGCAACCCAATCCTGAAGCAACATTTTGCATTTCACCGGGGAAAACCGCATCCAGAACATGCTTGCATTATTGCTTAGGGTAGTCAGAAGACTCTGCATTTTGTCAGCGTCTTCACCAAGTAGGGCAATGTCATCGGCATATTCTAAGTCAATAAGCGAGCCACCTAGTAGAAGGTTTACTCCTGAAAATTCAGACGAGGATAAGATTATTTCTAGGAGCATGTCTATGATAAAATTTAACAAGAATGGAGAAAGTGGACATCCCTGACGGATACCACTTGAAGTAAAGAATTCCGTTGACAGTTCTTCATAAGCTCTCACTCGACCAGTGGTGTTCGAGTAGAGAGCTTGTATGAGGTTAATGTACTTATTTGGTACGCCTTTCAATGACAAACACTGTCACAGAACCTCACGATCCACTGAGTCAAATACCGCTTTTAGGTCCAGGAAAACAACTATGTTGCTCAAAATCAATCAATGGTGTGAGTGTGTGTGTGTGGACTGGGTGGATGGTGTTTGAAAAGTACCGTACTGCGTTTTAGTGATGAAGTGAACATCAACTTTGTAATGTAGTAATGTAATGTAACATCTAATTATGGACGAGTAGCGAGTAGGATCATAAACAAATATCTTGAATAATATATTGTCAGCTCCTATTCACCTTTGCTAGTAAGTAGTATCGCATTTAGTCTAAATATATATCACATCGAGGCAATTAGTATAATAATTGACAGTGGAGAAAATTTGTAGCTAGGGGTAGAGGATTGCTGTGGTATTTCTTTTAGGATATTTGTCCAATATCCTGAGAGAGAATTGTTGGTCATTTCCTATTGGTTAATTCCTACTGGGTCAAATTTATGATCATCATGACTATCAATGTCACTTTAAATGTTGCTTCTTATTGGTCGTCTTAACTGTCAATGTCACTGACTTCGATGCTGTTTCCCTAGTCCGTGATCCTGATTCTCTACTGGACTCGGACCTCGTACTTTCTGGATGCTTGTAGAATACAGGTTCTACTTCATATCAAGTCTTCTTATTTTTTACTAAATATGGGGGTTTGGACACTCGGATTAGAGTAACATGTCGTGTCACCGGATCCTGCATCCTCACTCTCGTTTCCCGACTAAGGTAAACTCGTAATAGTTCAAGCATATCAAGTTGACGTGTTTACGTGCAGGCGTAACAGTTTCGTTCTCTCAACTGGTTAATCAGCAATCAACATTGACCCGATTTTTCAACCAATCAGAAAAATCGTAGGTGACATCGAATCAAGAAACAGATCAAGAAGGGGATACAATCAAAACAAAGGTGTAAGCAACCACGGATTTAAGATTAACGGCAACCAATCTACATCAAGGTTAACAGAACAAGCTACAAGTCAAATGTGGAGAAATTTGAATAGTTCAATTCTTCTATCTGAAGTCTGTGCTGCTGATGATGTTGTTGTTCAGCAGTAGAACAATGATGAAAGCTCTACAACCAAAAAGCATCCAACTCACAGAACGAAACACCATCACAACAAGCACAAGAGACAGGTATATATGTCAAAAACGAGACTGATCAATTGATGACTGAGGACATGCATGGAAGCATTGAAACAACTTGTTAAAATAAACGAAACTATCATAATATTTGTTGTAGTTGTTTGAAAAAGTTATTATCCATCTCAATTTAAATCTAAATATTCTTTTCAATAAATTCTCTTTTAAGATTCTACCATACTATTATAACTCAAAGCATGAAGTTGTCATAGCGTCATAGTTAGACACCGAAAAAAAATATCGTTAGGATTTGAGAGAGCTCAAAGAATCGATGCGCTTGCGCCATTGCAAACGATTTTGAGCCATATCGTTCAAGGTCTCTAACCATTGGTGACTATCGTCTCGCGGACACCAACCAGGTAGTCTACATCTACCAACATGACTCAGTCCACTAGTCAGTGACTTCATGGATTTCCGCCATGTCTCGTGTGCCTTTACGGGTATGAGAGCGGTTTTCACTTTCCGGCTGCTCACACCATGAAAGGTTGTTTCCTGAGGAACCTGAAAGAGAAAATAGATCAGTGTTGGTCTTAGAGACCTGAGAGCGTGACTGCAGAGCCCAAAGGAGAACTGCTTGAGGTCCGTCACTTACGGCCTTTTTATGAGAGGTTTTTGAGTATGAGTTCCGCTCTTAGAAGCCCCTAGTTGGCAGCCTTACCGACGGAGACGGAAATCCGTGAGGTAGGGTGAGGTGTGACATTTTTAGGGTCAACCTTTTCTAACCCTTCATTCCTTATGAGAAGGCAGCATCGCTGCAGATGGTGATTGTCCAAGGGAAACAACTTACTGCTGCCACACCTCTCTGCAGTCAGCAGTACGACTTCACACTCAGACCTTGATTAGCTGATTTAAGTCTCATCGTTCTCCAATCGACCTGCCTGACATAATAGAACCTTCAGGAATATATGTTCCATACAATATAGCTCGGTTGGGTCATCATGATAGTCAAGCCCGACCACCACGTCAAGGTAGCAGCTTCGGTTGGGTCTATTAGAAATTAATTCTAAATGTCCTTTTATTTTTCGGATCACAAATCTGGATAGAAAGTTTTTTAGAAGTTGAAAAATAAATTTATTGTAAACAATATCTTCTTTGCTTTGTGTTCATCAACTAATCAATCAATGATTGTTATCTCCAAAAAAAATTCTTAGAAATTTCTCATCCCATATAGCTAATCAAACAAAAATTTCATCATTGTTGAAGAAAGCATATGATTGGTGCATAGATGAATTCACTTTCTAGTGAGGATGAAGTATATATGTGTATATATAGCTGAGCCATCTGTACACATTATTCATTGTGGTGGTGTTTCATTCTCTGAGCTGGATGTAGTTTGGTTGTGGAGCTTTCATTGTTCTACTGCTGAATAACATCATCATCAGCACAAACTTCAGATAGAAGAAGTGAAGTATTCGAATTTCTTCTCCACATTTGACCTGTAGCTTGTTCTATTAACCTCAATCTTGATTGGTTGTTGTTGACTTGAAACCTGTCGTTGTTTGCACATTTGTTTAGATTGTATCCCCAATCAAGATCGAGGTTAACAGCAAAACAAGCTCCAAGTCAAACACGTGGAGGAGAAATTCGAATACTTCACTTCTTGTATCTGAAGTTTTTTGCTGATGATGATGTTATTCAGCAGTAGAAGAACAATGAAAAAGCTTCACACAACCAAACTACATCCAGCCAGCTCAGAGAACCAAACACCACCACCAACACCACAATCATCCACCACCTGAGCTACAAATTTTCTCCACCATCTCAAAACACACAAAAAAAAAATGTAGTTCACATTTTTTATCGCCTACACTTACATGATTCCGTTGGTGCAGCAGCAAAAGCAAAAATCACTAAGAATAAAGTGACAAGTACATAAATGATTGGAAATAAAATTGGTGCCTAAAATGATAAATTAAAAAAAAAAAATTATAAAAAATTTTTAAAAATTTATCCTTGATTTTTATTTAATTAGTTCATAAAGAATAAAGTGGGTTATGTAATTGAATTTCATTAGTGTTAGTCTCAAAAAAAAACATCGAAGTGTTGCATACGATTTTATATGAATAAGAGTAGAGTAGAGGAGGATATTCGTAGATTACTAGTGTATTCATTCAGCCATAGGTTTCTCTCCAAACCACTGTTCATCCATCACTTAAGAAGGTTAGAATATGTAATATTAAAAATGCCTAATCACCAACTGCTTCAATGAACGATATATTGTGGCGTAAGCGTAGTTTGGAAAGAAGCTAAGGGCGGAGGGCGGCCAAACCAAAACATGGAACATATCCATGAAGTCATTGACAAATAAGGGACTGAGCCATGTTAATAGTAGGCGTAGACTACCACCAGTTTGGGGTCCACGAGATGATATGAACCGATATGGTTAGAGACTTTGAACCATATGACTCGAAATCGTTCACAACAGCGCAGATACATCCATTGTTTATGTTCTCTCAAATTCTAGTCCTTTGAATTCCTTATAGCCATTTTTTTCTCCATTTCCTTTCATTTTCAAATTGATTCTTCTGAGATATACTTTTTGCATGATGTCTTCGATCAGTAAACTTTTTTGATTATCGCTAATACTTCTACAATATCGACTACTATGAGATTTGTATTAACAGTTATATCTGTGTGCTAATGTTGTATGGCGACTTGAACTGAGTTCAATTCTCGAGTGCCAAGGCTGTGGTGGATACACCATACCATTGTGGGGTCCTATACTAGGGCAAAACATCCATCCAGTGTTTACAGGTTTACAATAGTTGTCTAACAAAAATCAGGTTCATGATTTCAATGAAACTTGAAAGCTCTCTCTCTCTCTCTCTCTCTAGTGAAAATGATGCATATTTCAAAGCGAACTTCAAGATGTCAATGTATGTAAGAAACGTGAATTTTATTGTACGGTCAATGATATCTTATAATTTGAAAATATTCATTTTATTGGGGCCCAGTTTTGGAGGTTTGCGTTTTTACACATTTGAAGTCATTTGATTGATTAATGATTTCAAATGTGTAAAAACGCAAACCTCCAAAACTGTGCCCCAATATATCGTAACAGTGCTCACTAGTGACTAGCTTCGTGAGGAAATTCTCGGAGTTCTAGTTGAGAAGACGTGACCAATGGAGTTCAACCCTGTCGGGTGTAGGCAGTAACTACCACCAAAGACAAATGAGTGAGGTCGCGCAAAATCCCTAGATCAATCAGAGTTAGACATTAACACCGTTGGATGCCGGCCCAGTGGTCCGATGGTAAGGCGTTCGCCTACAATGCCGAAGGTCCCGAGTTGGAATCCTGCGGGGAGCAGGAGTTGTGGATGCGCACTGCTGAGGAGTCCCATACTAGGACGAAACGGCCATTGTCCAGTGCTTGCAGGTTTCTAATGGTGGTCTAACAATGATAATTGATTAATGATTTCAAATATTCATTTTGAAAAAAAATATCAACAACAATACAATACAGCAAAAAAAAGGGAAACTCAAATTTTCTTACTTTCACTGGACGTGGATGATGTCGTTTAGTTATACGGAATACAATCACAATGAATACACATAAGCCAATTGCAAGCCATTGTACAAAACCAAGATATGTAATTAATGAGTAAATATCACCAACAAATAAATAACACAAGGAGATGACACACTAAAAATTAAAATAAAATTAGCGAACGAAAAAAAACAGTAAAATAAATTAAAATATAATCAGTTTGAAAGAAAAATAGCATTTATAGTGGAGAAATTTTTCATTGCAGGGGTTGTGAAGATTGGTAAGTTACACATTTTTGAAACCATGACTCGACCAATGTTAGACCACCATTAGAAACATGGAAGCACTGGACGGCCGTTTCGTCCTGGTATGGGACTCATCAGCAGTGCGCATCCACGACTCCTGCATCCCGCAGGATTCGAAACCAGGACCTTCGGTATTGTGCGCGAACGCCATAACCGTTAGATCACTGAGCCGGTATCTTGCGGGATGCAGGAGTCGTGGATGCGCACTGCTGAGGAGTCCCATTCCAGGACGAAACGGCCGTCCAGTGCTTCCAGGTTTCTAATGGTGGTCTAACATTGATCGATTCATGGAAAAATTTTTGTTCATACTTAACAGTGTTACATACATGTTGACTATAATTAGCTGATTTTAATTAGCTGTAAATCCAAACCCAACCAGGGTTAGACACACACACACACACTCCAATCTGAAGGAAACTGATGCACTCTGTAGTATTCACACCTACATCACCTACATCAGTCTCATATTCTTTGGTCAGTAACATCTACCGCCGTTAGACTGACATACTGACACTGGTCAGTCACTGTGACCACTTTCAACTTCATCTAGTCTTTTGTGCTGATCAAAATTTTTCATTACCGATTTACAACTCCGCACGTACATGAGCCTGTATCTTTTAAGTCTTGTAAATTTTGACTAATAAGTGCTTGAAGTCTAATGCTGAGTTACAAGATAATCCTAAAAGAGTTGACCTGTACAGATAAACTTTCAAAAGTTCCTCCCATCACTTTCAAACGGTGATGAGAACTAATTGTAGACTATAATTTCTGTACATTCAAAATGTAATAGAATTATTGTCGTAAAACATATTGGCATAAAAAAATCATATCTAAAAAAATTCGAATTTATTAAAATCGGCATTGTGTTAAAGATAACTATCCGACAACCAACATGGGTGAACACCGCAGTAAGACAGTTACCTATTAAAGACAAAATCTAGGATTGACTAAGGTTAGAGACTAGCACCATTAGATGTCGACTCATTGGTCTCAATGCTCAGCGAGATCGAAGGATCTGAGTTCGATTACCGCTTTCGATGTTGTGGATATTCTTCATTGGTGATTCGTTGTACATTATCAAAAAATGAGACAATTTTTCTGTATGCTTTCAGGTTTCCAATGATGATGGTTGATCATGTATATATATATTTTAGTTCATTCTTTCAATGAAACTTGTCAATCTCCACAACCCTATTACCAAAAAAAAAACATGATCAACATGAACAGTAGCAACAAGTACAACAAACATTTCAATCATTTATCACAAGGAAAAACAACTCACTGTAAATATAACAGCTAAAATTGGTGTCAACCGATCCATATGTAAAAAGCATAATAATTTAGGCATTTGATTTACTTGACTAGCAACATAAAATGTACGTGATGTTGTCATAATTGCACCATTTACACCACCGAATGTAGACAGTGCAACAAATATTGGCATAATCCACCACATTACACCATAAATTCTTTTAGCAAATGTCTAATTAGAATAAGGAAAAACAACGCAAAAAAAAACATTATTAAGGATAGAATGAAGGATAGAAGCTGTAGAGTGGCCAACTTCAAGGCCAACTAGCTAGATTTCGTGAGAATTATCAATCATCATAATAGTGAAGTGAAAGATAATAGCAACTTGGCGCGTCCTGCTGATGTTTGTTTTCAGTCAACTAATGGACGGTCACATACTAGTCTAAGTAGTCATAGCAACATTGATAGTGTTAGTGTAAGTGACAGAAGTGTTAGCTTAGCTTTAAAGCCTGCATACCAATCATCCCGCAACTCGCCACTAACTGTGAAGAGTCGGAACATCAATGTGGACAACAACAAGGTTGAGGTGAAACCGCATGTGTCTATAAATAGTGTGATAGATGTGAATAATAAAGGTGATGGTAACGAGAGTGGAATCACTGTAAGTAGTGCAGTTTCTTCGGTTGCTGTCGCTAATCTAGCTTCATCGAGTATTTCAGTTCAAAGGGACGTTGGATGTTTGAGGGTGGAGGATGTAGGCGACGGTGGCAACATCGTCAGCCACAGTGATGGCACTACTGAGAGGGCTAATAACATTCAGTGCCCTAGGTGCAGTGAGGAGTCATCTAGGTTTAATGGACATGCTGTTGTGTTGAATATGCAGCGTGAGGAATCGAGCATGGAATTGTCCACCTGTCGCACTCCACCATCATTGACTCGTACTACAAGTACCGGGATGAGCACTACCAACAGTGATAAGACAGATTAGGTTAAGAGCATTTCTAGTAAGGAAAGCAATGTTGATCTAGTAGAGTTGGACACTGTGCATGAGTCGACTGTATGTCATGGGAAGATGACTGCTACTTGTACAGCTGCGGCTACTAATGATAATAGCAACGATAATACTCCTGCGGGTAATAGTGATCGAAGGACATCGAAAGACACTCATCAACATCGAAATGATCGTACATTAGGCTCACATACTGCTACCGAAGGTGAGAAGCATAAGAAACGACATGATGCTACTATTATTAAGAAGCGGAAACTTCGTTCTCTTTCGGATGCTGTGACAGGAAAAGAATATGGGAGCGTTTTCGACACTACGGCGTGTCTGAGAAGATATTCAACATCATGTGAAACTCTTACAATGGATTAAACTGTGAAATCATGCATGGACGGCAGCTGACAGACTCGTTTTCGAGGTGAATACCGGTGTCAAGCAAGGTTGCTTACTCTCACCTTTCCTCTTTCGAAACAGATTGGCTGCTGTATGGATCAAGTGGTATTTGAATTTGTTACATAGTTTAAAAACCGACTAATCAACCATTATTATCTGTAAATGTTTGTTATTACGTGTAAATAAATGATAGTCATTAAGTATCGATCGGATTATGAAGACGTCCAGATCTGGAAGGGAAGTACGGTTTACAGTAGACGACCAGGATACAGCTGAACGATGTGGACTTCGCAGATGATCTGGCTCTTCCATCGCACATGCAACAACAAAATGTAAGAGAAGATGGCCAGTGTAGCAGCAGCCTCTACAGCAGTAGGTCTCAACATATATAAAGAGAAAATCAAGATTTTCCGAACCATATCACACTTGGTGGAGATGCCTTGTAGGACGTTTACACCTTTACATATCTGGGCAGCATCATTGACGAGCAAGCTGAATCCGATGCAGATGTGAAGATGCGGATCGGCAAAGCGAGGGCTGCATTTCTACAACTGAACAACATCTGGAATTCCAAACAACTATCAATCAACACCAAAATCAGGATATTCAATACAAATGTCAAGATAGTTATACTTTATGGAGCGGAAACTTAAAGACCTACGAAAGCCATCATCCAGAAGATACAAGTATTCATTAACAGTTATTAATGCAAAATACTTCGGACCCGTTGGCCAGACACCCTTCAGTGAGAGAGAACATACCAGATTCCAGTGGGTGAAGAAATCTGGAACAGACGCTGGATGTGGATAGTACATTTATTGTGTCATGTCGAAACCTTACTAAGAATCGTCAAGTTGAAAGGAAAAGACGAAGGAAAAACATCACATTGAGAAACGAAGACAGATGTGAGAAAAATGAACAAAAAGTTGGACAGAACTGGAAAGGACAGATTAGGTTGTAGAATACTGGTCAGCGACCTATGCTTCATTGAGGGTAAGAGGAGTAAGTAAGTAAGTAAGTAAGTAACAACACTATAAACTTTCTTTTCAAAGAATAATAAGTCATTTATGATGAATATAAATATGATGAGACTCTACGGTGATACTTTTATCTTCAAGTCATCTTATTATGTTTTTCACAAATCCTCCTGAAAGTTCAACGGTCGAGAAGAAAATTATTCGCAAAGAAAAACATGACTTGTTGTACCATGTAATTAATTAATTAGCTGTATATCAAGATTAGAGAAAGCAGTATTGATTTTGAGATAATGCAAAAAAATTTCCTAGTGCACTAGGATGATTATGTTGAAGGTTTGTTCATTGAACTGAACACAACGTCATATGTAGAAAGTTCAGATAGAATAAAGGAAGCTGTGGTGCGCGCTACTTTTAAGTAGTATATAACGCAAGTGTAAACGTAATGTCTGGCAGCAGAAGATGAGGGAAAAACAAGAAAGGAAGACTGGGAACGCAATGGAATTTGTATGAAACGCATGAACAATAGTGAAATGTCAGACAATGGATTGATGATGGATTGAAGATTTGAAAACTAACCGTTTACGATATGATTTTCCTATTTTACTGAGTAACTCTGTAATTTTCGGTAAATACAATTCGGTTGCCCTCACCTGTATTCTCTTTCACCACAAAGCTATAATAAAAGCTTTAACACTAAAGCATCCTGTGCAGTTAGACAAAACTCCTCCAAGATCAATGGTTAATTTATTTTTTTTGTAAATAAATAAACCTATGACAAAATGAAATATTTTCACCTCTACAGAGAAACAAGTACCTTTTATTTTGATGCTACAGCATTTACCTGTCACATACTTAACATGCTAACGAAAAATACCGGCAATTTGAAAATCTCAATCAAAAAACATTGTTTTATTGCCTCTCAAAATTGATATACATTGAAAATTGATAAGACACCTCGTATCATAGATCGTTTGACCACAATGTAACGAATCAACTTCATTGCATCATGTTGATACGACTTAAGATGAAATTATTTATTTTTACACATTTCAAATCATCAATCAATCTGTTTGTTAGACCACCATTAGAAACCTGGAAGCAAAGGACGGCGGTTTCGTCCTAGTTTGGGACTGACTCATCAGCAGTACGCATCCACGACTCCTGCCCCTCGCAGGATTCGAACCCGGGACCTTTGGCATTGTAGGCGAACGCCTTACCATCGGACCACTGCTGAAGAGTCCCACGCTAGGACGAAACGACCATCCAGTGCTTCCAGGTTTCTAATGGTGGTCTAACAATGATTGATTGATGATTTCAAATGTGTAAAAACGCAAACCTCTAAAACTGTGCCCCAATATATCGTAACAGTGCTCAATAGTCACTAGCTTCATGAGGAAATTCTTGGAGTTATAGTTGAGAAGACGTGACCAATGGAGTTCAACCCTGACGAGTGTGTAGGCAGTAACTACCACCAAAGACCAATGGGTGAGGTGGCGCAAAATCCCTAGATCAATCAGAATTAGACATTAACACCGTCGGATGCCGGCCCAGTGGTCCGATGGTAAGGCGTTCGCCTACAATACGCATTCACAACTCTTGCATCTCATGATTTAAAAAAAAAATGTGTAACTTAACAATCTTCACAACGCCACAATGAGATAAATATACATCAGAAAAAAACATTTAACAAAACTGAAGAAAACAATGAAATTATGACAATTGGCTTAGATAACTTACAATGGCTACAGCTGGTGTAGTTAATATTTCATAAGGTGAAACTACTGTTACATAAGCTACATTTGCCATTGTATAAATACATGTAATAAGAAGACATGAAATAATAATAGCCAATGGTAAATCACGACGAGGATTATGCATTTCTTCAATCATACAATTTAAATAATTCCAACCAGAATATGCAAATAATCCAACATAAAATGCTCTAGTTATTGCATCTGGACTCCAATTTGAATTATCGAATGCACCGACAAGTCCATCAACTTTACCTATCATAGAATAAGAAAGAGAGAGATAATATTGTTTTTGTTTCAGAGAAACTAAATAACACATTTTGTGATTTAATGATGGCTAAATTTACGGTGATAATTACTTACTTACTTACTTATGCCTGTTACCCGCAATGGAGCTAAGGCCACCCACCAGTTTTCTACAACCAACACTGTCTGTCCTGAGCTTCCCTTTCCAGTTCTGTCAAATGTTTGTTCATTCTTCTCATGTCTTTCTCTATTTCTCGGAGTAATGTGTTCCTTGACCTTCCTTTTTTCCTTTTGCCTTGAAGGTTCCATGTGTGAGCTTGTCCCGTGACGCAGTTCGGCGCTTCTCGCAGTGTGTGTCCTGTCCACTTACACCGCTTCTTCCTCCTCCACTGGGATCTGGTTTGTTCTCTCACACAGTAGGTTGTTGCTGATGGTGTCTGGCAAATTAATCCGAAGTATTTTGCGTAGACAACTGTTAATAATTTACGGTGATATTGAAAGAGTTCATCATTACACTCTTCGTGTGAATAATATAGGAGGTGATCACCAAAAAAATTGTTTTTAAAAGCATATTCTTTAAGTTTACAGATTTAATTAACTAACAAAATTAGTTCAGCATATAAAATTCAATAACATTTAGGGGGTTTTTCAGCGATAAACATTGCGGTATTCAGGATGACGAAACTATATCGTTTATTGTGTTGAACACATATTTTGTTTCCTTGAATAATTATGGACAGTTTTAAATGAGATTTTGAAGCTAAGCTTCTTCTTCTTCAATCTTTTCACAGTTTCATTTTTATTGTGTAGTGCATGCATGCATATTTTAATCATATCGAACTAACACTCAAATTATGAAAAGCAAAACACTCAAATTAGTTATTGTCAGTGACAGTATATTAGAAATTAATTTTTCTGATTTCTGTGGAAGAAAACAAACCAGATTCCAGTGGAGGAGTAAATCAGGAAGAAGCGGTGGAATTGGATAGGACACACATTGCGGAAAGCACCTAACTACGTCACGAGACAAGCCCTCACATGGAACCCTCAAGGTGAAAGGAGAAGAGGAAGGTCAAAGAACACATTAGGCCGAGAAATAGAGAACGATATGAGAGGAATGAACAAACATTTGACAGAACTGGTGAAGGAAGCCCTGGACAGAGTTGGTTGTAGAAAACTGGTAGGCAGTCAATGCTCCATTCGGTGTGTAACGGGCGTAAGTAAGTAGATTAAAAATTACACGGCACTTGTAAATTAACTCAAATTAAAAATGTTACTTTGATATGTTCGTCACTTAGTATGCTTGAGGCTATTACGAGTTTACCTTAGTCGATAAACGCGAACGAGACTTTTACCAGCTTCCAGGAAGGCTACCTTGAATCCAAACGGGAAAACAGAAGTCTTGGTAAGAGTAGAAAGTATATTCTACAAGCACCCAGCAATCCAGTACAATCAAGCATACAACTCTCGTTTATTTATACAACATAACAACGTCCTTGAGACAGTTAAGAAAATAGTATACTAAAATACACAGCAGCCAATCACAGCCATTGATTTTCCTGGTGGGAATTGAAATCTCAAGGTCATTTGATCAGCCCCTGCTGGCGAACGTGAAAACCGAAATACGGCATTATCAAGCGAATTTTGGGGATCTAACATCCCCAACACTCCTCCCCTTTTTAATAGCGTGTTCTCCTGTGGTTGACTTGCATCTTGACTATTGTTCGCCGCTGTCTGAGGGGATACCTTTGGGAACGAAGAACAGCTTGCTGCTGAGTTTCTTCTCGTGGCGGGGCTCTCGGTAGGTTGAAGGTATCAAGCAAGATGTCAAGGGGAAGGCTTTCTGCTCTTGATGGGCGATCTGGGGCTAGCCGTCTGCGTATCTGATTGCGATGACGTGACCATTTATCACCTCCTACCTCTACTTCGTACATAACTCGACCAACCCTTCTGACCACTCTCGCTTCTACCCAAGGACCATGGTTCGTTCTGTAGTCGCGGGCAAACACAGGGCATCCTACTTCGTAAGCGGATTGTCTTTGCTGCTTTGTCTTTACTGATGAGGGTGCATTAGTCGGATGCATCAGGCTGTGAATCGTTTTCAATCTTCTTCCCATCAGCATTTCAGCTGGGGACTTTTGCTCCGGTAACAATTCATTTGGTGTTGTCCGATAGACGTACAAGAAATTTTGTAACGTTTCGGCTGGCGTCCCCTCCCCTCTTGACTTGAGCAGTGCTCTTTTAAACGTATCCACAAACCTTTCCGCCTGCCCATTCGATTGCGGGTGGTATGGTGGCGAGCGTAAGTGTTTAATAGCTAGCCGTTGACAGAAATTCTGGAATTGGGAAGAGGTGAATTGAGAGCCATTGTCGGATACGATCACATCTGGTATGCCATTCCGTGAGAAAATTTCAGTTAGGAGCTGTATAGTCTTAGTTGTAGTGGGCGGCATAACGGGGCTGATTTCCGGCCATTTAGAAAAGGCGTCGACGACTATCAAATACATAGTTCCATTTATTGGGCCAGCGAAGTCGACATGTATCCTGGACCAAGGATGCTCAGGTTTGGGCCATGAAACCGGCGGAATTTTGGCATTCATCTTTGCCGCCTGTTGACACCGCATGCATTTTTCAACCAACGCTGTGACATGTTGATCCATGTGAGGCCAGTATGCATAACTTCTGGCTATGGACTTCATTCGTTTAATCCCAGGATGACCAAGATGGAACTGTCTCAGCACTTTTGCACGAAGGGATGCTGGAACCACTACTCTTTCACCAAACATGAGACAATCGTTCACGATGCATAGTGAATCCCGCCGCTGATACAGTTGCTTCATGTCACCTTCAAACTTTTTCGACGGCCAACCTTTAGTGACATATTTCATCGTCATCCTGATGATGGGGTCGTTTCTAGAAGCATTTTGTATGTCTGTTGCAGACACCGGTAATGCGCGAACTGCGGTTGTCAGATCACATTCTGCGTGGTCTTCTACTGACAGAGATGCGATCACCATGTTTTCCTCAGCCGCCACTTGATCATTAATGAGTCGTGACAAAGCGTCTGCTTGACCGAATTGTAGAGTGCGTCGATATTGGATTTCGAAATCATACCCCAAAAGTACCAAGGCCCATCGCTGAAGACGATTTGCAGAATGGGCTGGAATGCCAGACTTTGAACCAAATATTGCTAACAGAGGCTTGTGATCTGTGAGGAGCGTGAATCTCCGACCGTACAGAAACTTATGGAAACGGCGAACAGCAAACACAAGGGCAAGAGCTTCTTTCTCTATCTGGCTATACTTCTTTTCTGCTGGGGTCAGTGTACGGGATGCATGCATAACGGCTTTTTCTGACGCGTCTGGAAACTGATGTGAAATAACAGCACCTAGGCCATATGCTGAAGCGTCTGCTGCTACGATGATCGGCATGGATGGATCGTAGTGTGTTAATAACAATTCCGAGCTAATTATAGACTTGAGTTTACCAAAAGCCGCGTCACACTCTTTAGTCCAGTTCCATGTGCTATGCTTCTGCAGTAGACAATTCAATGGAGCGCGAATATCATGCATCGAGGGAACAAAAGCTGAATAATAACTGATCAAACCGAGAAAAGATCGTAATTCGGAAACATTAGTGGGAGTAGGCATCAGTTTGATAGCTCGGATGTTTTCAGGATCCGGTCTGCGACCGTCGGCATCAAAGATAAATCCCAAATACTTTACCGACTGCAATAGAAACTGGCATTTTTCTGGGCGTAACCGGAAACCATTGTCACTGATGCGTTGTAGTACCAATGTCGTGCGTTCCCGTAGCTGTTCTAACGTCTTCGCAACAATCAAGATATCATCGAGATAAGCTGCAACCCCTGGGATATCTGACAGGATTGTATCCATTAATTGTTGGAAGATAGACGGCGCAGTCTTAACTCCAAAAGGTAGACGGTTATATTGAAACAAACCGCGATGAGTGTTGATAGTAAGCAGCTCTTTAGATGCTTCATCGACTTCCACTTGCAAATAAGCATCAGCTAGGTCAAGCTTTGCGAAGAACTTTCCTCCATTCAGCATAGTGAACAGATCTGCTGGAACTGGCAGAGGATAATGATGCTGTTCTAGAGCTGCGTTGAGACCTGTAGAGAAGTCAGCACATATACGTATCGTGCCGTTGGCCTTCTTGATAACGACTATAGGTGCTGCCCAACTGGAGTAAGAAACGGGAGTAATAACTCCTTGTCGTTGAAGGCGATCCAGCTCTTCATCTACTGTTGCTAATGTCGCATACGGTACAGGTCTCTTTGGACGAAAAGCAGGCTTAGCCCCATGTTTCAACCGAAGTGCTGCTTTCATAGCAGTGCACCGACCTAATCCAGGTTCAAAAATGATTGAAAACTCTGTCATCAGCTTCTTCGTATACGCTTCTGGGTCATGTCGTTGTGATACCAGGTTGCATATGGTATTTAGCGGGACATCAGCCAATTTTAGCTGGTCGAACCAATCTAAACCAAGTAAATTTAGATCAGCTGGCGTTATATAGCATACCCCAGTAAACGACGAATCCCGGAAAGCAACTTTACATTCCAATTGTCCTAACAGACGAAGATAATTACCACATGCTGTGCGAGGCTTTTGTGTTGTGTGCTGCAGGCTTGGGCTGCCCAACTTGGTCCAATTTTTGCGTGAGAGGATAGTGACATCAGATGCAGTATCTATTTGCATTCTGGTGATGAACTTTGGCAGGAAGATATTAGGCTCAATGCATTGGTACTGGATCTAGGAAGAGGCTTCTTAGCACTTCTGGATCGCTTTGGCTTTTTCTGTAGGCAAAAGCCATCTTTATGACCGATGACTTTACACTTCCTGCATCTATGCTGCCTAAATGGACAGTTCCGTACATAGTGCCATGAACCGCAGTGCCAGCAAGCAGAAGGTGGATTCATTTTGGGTTTTTGGGCCGAATTGGAGCGGGGTGAACTGGGTGTAGCATGGGCAGACTTATAATGATTAGGT